CAGGCAGACAGGTCGAGAGCTTTGCTTCACTGAACCGCCGAAGAGTGGTTCACCGAGCAGGAGCGCACTGAGGTGCAGATACATCCAGGTGGCCGGCCAGGTTGACTGGCAAAAAGTTTTTGGACCACAGCAATTGAACGTGGCACGCTGGGCTGGGCAAAGTTGTCGTCCATCTCACGAGCGGCGTAAATTGAGTTGCCAGTTTAATCCTTTAACTGGCCCGAAAAAAGATTCCGCATAGATCGATATCAGTTTGCGGGCTTCCACAGCAGATTGAGCCCTTTATTGAAATTCTATGGGGCATATACATACATAATTGATTCCTTCTTAAATTGTTTTGAGCACTACACTTATAGTCCTCTTTCTACATTTAAGACATGTTTCGTACTTGTTAGCCAGAAAAGACTACTTTCTGGCGTCTAAAAAGTGCCAGAAATCCTCTAAGTATTCATTTTAAGGGAACTTGTATTTATATACTGTTTAAATTTAGTGTTTCGTGCGCACTTAAGTGTCGTGTCGCCTCGATTTGATTTAATTTCCGCTTTAAACAGGTCCTGCCAACGTGATGCAGTGAAATTTATACATTTTCTGCGCACTGCCAGGGTTTCTGCTTTTCAATTTAGTTTAAATGTGCATCCTGCTGGCCGTCCGGCTGCCCTCTGCCCGTTCGTCCGTTTTCCCAGGGTAGAGGCACCAGCCCACTCCCATTCCCAGAAACTAACCAGAGAATCGAGCATTAACCAGAGAATTGCACGCGCGCCCGGCGACCGTTGAGCGATTTCCGTTGTGGGTTACGTCATGCACTGCCCACGGTTGTAGTTGTCCTGCGGGGATGGGATTGGATGAAATGTGTTGGGTTGGGATGGAGACGGGGCTTCGGGCTGACAGGAAAATCTTGCTGCAGTGCTCCTGCAGCAGGAGTTTTGCACTGGCGCTGGGCACAGGCGACGTGACTGAGCGATTACTCATATCCGGCAGCGTTGCAAGTTCCTGTTGTGAGTGCGCACAATTGCCCGAAGGAGGTCCGTGGCCATGTCCATGTCCGAGCTGGGATTCCCGAGAGCTGGCAAAGCATGGTATCGGACAAGAACCGAGACAGTGCCACCCCCACACAAAGGATTAAAGCTGTCGGCCGGCTGCCGCTCGACAGTCATTATGACGTTAATGAAAACCAACACCGACGTTGCACCTGTGCATGCTTCGCACCTGCACCTTGCCCTTCGCCTCCTCCTCCTGCTCCTGATCCTCCTGCTCCGGCGTCTCCTACTTGGCCGCCACCAGCATAAGTCTCGCCCAGCTCGTTTGCATATTGGCCAAGCCGGCTCTTGCTGGACACAACCCCCACCGGGCTAAAACCACCACCCCCTTGCAGGGCTGTGGTAACCACCTGCCGCCTGGAACCGCCCCAAATCGCTTTGGCTGTCTGGCACACACACGGTTCGTTTTAATTTTCACAATTATGCATGCAAAAGTGCAATGTTTGTTGGTATTTCGCTGGCATTTTCGTTTGGCATTTTGTTGCGTGTCGCACACACGCCCCCTGTATTCCATCTCAGCGCGGAATAAGCCCAGTTAATACGTCAAAAATGTAAAATGCATGTTTCCCTGCATGGATTGGACACTTTTCGGTTTGTGTAAATAATGCAAATATATACATATATATGTATACTTGTATATCTGTGTGTGCGGCGCATACGTACTTTCAATTATGTATCCGTATGGCTCCGCTCATGTATGTAATGCCCTGTATTCATTAGCCGCACGCTTTGTGAATTGGTGGAGTGAAGCGGAGTGGAGTGGAGTGGATTGGATTGGATTGGATGGAGTGAAGCGGAGTGGAGTGTCAACGCGTCGCCTCAACGCTTGGCTGGATTTGGTGCTGCTCCTGCTAATAACCATTTTGGTGGCCATTATGCTGGGCCAATGGGATATGCTCGGTTTGTGGCACGGTTGCCAAGAAAAGGGCGACGTAATGATGGCCAAAATGAATTAGGGCTTTTCGAGGACATTTTCGAGTGACAGGTCAAGAGATGGAGATAAATGTTTGGTGACATCAGTTATTCAGGACCTTAAATGGGATGATCTTTTATTAGGCATGATAAATTACTTTCGGCATACTGGAAAAACTATTTTCGTTGTCATTTTTAAACGCAAATAAGGCAACACTACGAACTGCCTACTGCATTATTCATACTAATAAGTACTCAAACATACAAGTTATTATCTAACCGTATAATCTTCAGACACTTTATGAGCAAAATAAAACAGACAAGTTATTTACCAACTAAATTGAATTGCTTTCATCTAGTATAGTTTACACTCAAGCCACCACTAACTATTTTATTATCTTTCGACTTGTTTCTAATTAGATATTATAAGCAATTAGTTCTGATCTGAACACCACTGAGAAAAGGTAGTTTCCTTATCTATACACTTATATAAAAAATATATTGATTAATTGCATGTAACGAGTAATCAACAGTCGTTTATCATATTTCTGTTGCAATGTTGCATTCGCTGTTGTTGCCGCGGCTGTCGACAGCAGAAGCTGTAGCATCAGCACAGCTATTGCTTAATTATTTTTCCATTAAATGCCAATTAAATTGGGATATTATGTTTGCAACTCGCATTGAATTTCCTGCGTCGGGAGCAACAAAATATAATCGAGGTGGGGATCCCACGGTTGCCAGGCAACGTTTGATTGCAGTTGCATTTTCGTAATTTTTGTTTTTACCATTTTATTATATGTACATAATTTGCCTGGCAGACAGACACGAATTAAGGATAGTAGGGGCAGATTTCACTGGATTGGTGGCCATCCTGGTGGCAGACGATGACGACGACCCAGTTGGCAATTGCAAAATGTTCTACATCCATTTGTTTGTTTGTTTGTTTGCCTGCTTTCTCTATGCCAAGAGTGGAAGAGCGGATGAGCTGGGGTTGTCAGGGGGATGAGCTGCGGTTTTATTGCATTTCAAAAGTTGAAATTATGTTTGCTTTCTGCGGCAAGGCGGGCGCCGACTGCCTTTTGACTAAGTGGCAAGCAAAGCTGCAACAAAACAGCACTTGAAGTTGCCTTTGTGGCATAAAGCAGCAGCAACAGCAGCAGCAGCAGCAGCAGCAGCAAAAGCCCAGACATTCCAGGGGATTTTGGAATGGGTTTGATGTCCTCTAATGGATTTATTTCAGCTTGCTAGGGCGTGGTCACTTAATAAAGTTGGCTCGTGCTTATAGCATGAATAAATTGATTTAGCTTATTGAATTGATCAAGTTTCGTTTTTACTTACACTACGTGTGAGCTAACTTTAAAGGAAACTTTAGGGCACTAAATCCTCCACAGCAATCAAGCAATTACCCCCAGAGATGGCCTCCAGTTTCACGTTTCATTATCCCTCGCTTATTTGCCAATGATTCGTTTAATTTCAGCACTTGAACTTACAGAATACATACCATACCATAGCATACCAAGCCATGCCATGCCATTCCGTTGCCATCGTCGTCAGGTTACTTGGGCCACTTTATTGCCTTCTCCAATTGCTCCTTTTCCTCGGTCTGTCGGTCAGTGCGATAAAAAGCCGGGGAGCAGATGAGCCGGCGGAGCAGTGAAACATTTTAATGTTTAATAACCAACTTTGGCCTGCGGAATGTTCAGTTAAAGCGGCCCGGTCAGTGCTGGTTCCTAAAAGGTCCGTTCCGAGTGTTTTGTACAAATTGCTGACCCAAAATGGTTGCGACACGTTTCCAGCGCTTGGCTGGCCAATGAAGCAATTGCCATCCACTGATTGAAATGGCAAAAAGTGCACGGTCCCAAAAGGGTCGTCCATCATCATCACAAAATCCGTTGCCCCCTCTTTGGCCCGCTTCATCATCCACATGGCCATCATCGTCATGGTTCATAAAGGCGATGGAGGCGGTGGAGACGGCAGTGGAGGATGAGTCCGTTGTCGGCGGGGGAGGCCTGCAAATCGAAACCTTTGCCGGCGATTCATTTGCATAAATTCCATGCGCACCTGCTGCTAAAAAGGAAGGAGGTGGGCACCACCACGATGCGGTCGCCATGGCAACTTTTGCCAGTCTTTTGATCTGCTCAACTCGATAATGATGAATGCGATGCATTTGATTGGATTACATGTGTACTCGGCCGGGGCTTCGTTGGATATTCATTTACACAATGCTAATTGGACGGCTGCCTAAGCCTTGGGCCAAGGTCGTCGTATTCCTAAGTAATCAACCCAATGTTTTCACTCATCTCATCAATTTGCACAGAAAGGGATATGGAAATTTGTGGAAATCATTTGAATAATGCGAATGCGACTGAAATTTGATTTCGTGCTGCGAGATGATGGGCATGATGATTAAATGATTATGCTGTCAAGCAGAAAAATCTGTTGAAATGTGATTAAAATAGGTTTTTCATTAAAAAGCATCCTTAATTGACTTGACATGTGTTGCTATTTAAAGTCACCCATGTGAAGTGCATTCAAATAGCTTTACGATGTTATTATTACCAAATGAACATCGAGGTTCTAGGCACATGCTTTTAAAAGTTTGGATTTTTCCAGGGAACTTTGAAGAGTATCTCAGCAGTGCCGCCTAATTAAAGGGTATGGAAAAGTTAACGTCAAACGGCGCCTTGGGCGCCTATCTAATTTTTAACGAATGCCACTCACGTTTCCCATGCAAATTAATAGCGCACACCCATCGCCAATGAATGTGTGCGGCTGACAGTATATGTATACATTGCATTTGCACTAATGTGTGTTTAGGGTGGACCTTTACACGCGCCGCTTGGCATTCCAAGCGCGCTGATTAAATTTTCGATTTCATATTTGACAGTCAGCGTGGCGGACGTTTGTGGTGGTTTGTGGATTGAGGGGTTTTATGGGTGTTCTGCGGCTTTCGTTATCGACGTTTCTGTCGACGAGTGGCGGCGCCTAATTTGATTGTTGCACAGCATTTACACTAATTATGCCAATTTTGTTGCCTTATGCTAATTGCAGGTGCCCAACATGCCGCTCAAGTTGCCAACGGAGGCGTCAACGGCGATGCCAACACCTTGCCTGCACCAGCGGCGATTTCTGGAATCTCAGCAGCTTCAGCTGCCACAGCAGCCATCCCAAATGCAACAGCAACATCTACAGCAGCAGCAACAGCAGCAGCAACAACAGGCTGTCAAAGATGTATCTGTAGCCGTAGCCGTATCCGTATCTGGGCCAGCAGCTGTCAGCGATGTGTTCTCCACGCTGATGACATCGACGGCGAGGACGGCGACAACGGCGACACCAACAGCAGCGACATCACCAGAACAGGCGGCAACAACCACCACACATGAAATGGCCAACAAAGGTGAGTGGTAATTGTAGCATGGGATCAATAGCCAATATCCTTACAATCGGGGATAAGCCGAAGCCATATTATTGCATGTCTTTAGTTGGGCTTGTGTAAATATTGAATAACTACACACACGAGCAGAGTCATTATTTATGATAATAAATAGTAATAATAACAGCTTGAATAGCTAGATCAAAGAGCTCAACTAAATCGCTTGGATTACGTATGAGCATTGCAAGTAATTAGCTCCGTAATGAGTCAAACGCCTTCGTTGGCCACACAGAGCGAATGCCTTTTTAATAATTCGCCAATTCAATTCGTTTGGAAGTTCTGGGAGTGACGGACGCCTTCCTGTTTTATCGGCGCCACGGCAACCCTGGCTGTCAAAGCGCCCCTGCGGGTGAACATTTGCTGCGCTCAAAAGTATGCTATGGAAAAATGTGATGGCTGCATTTTTGCGCAACTGCAAAAGTGGAAGGAAAGGCTGGGGGAAAGTGTAGAAAAACGACGACAACGACGAGCAAGACGAAGACGACGAACGGATGCCCAAGTGCTGGGGAAGGGGCAGAGGGGGGGAGGGTGGGCAGGATATAGCCGGAGGTGAGGTCAGGGCAAAAGGAAAACTAGTGTAGATACGTGCGAAAAGTGCAGGCTGGGCCAAGGAAAATCCTAAGCAAAGCAAAATGGAGCACAGCAGGAACTGCACACAAACACACAGGCGGCCAGCACACAGGCACACCCATCGCATTTGTGCACACACACACACACAGTTGGGGTCAGCTGAATGTCCTTAAAGGATTTGAGATTTTGTAAAAACATGCATTTTTTCTGGTTTATACAAACCAAGTTGTTCAGTTAAGCTAAGAAGTAAGCCTTTTACAGTAGTTTGCTGGCACATATTAAGATGGTCATTAGGATTTGTTTCATACTATATCCTCAAAAGGTTTTTCATTACTTTCTTAATTCAGTTTCCTTTCTATCTCAGCAATAACAAACCTGCAATGTGACTAATCGAAATCAAATTTGGCACTGCTAGTAATTTGACCTCACCTGTTAGCACACATGTACATATGTACGTATGTACTACGTACGTGTGTGGTTGTGCAAACAGTTGCAGTGGAAAAGGTGCTCGATGTTGACTGTGGCTGCTGCCAAGTGAAAAACGATGCCTAGACAATGATAAAGTGAAACTGCACACACACAGTGGGCTGGGAACTGCAGCGGGAGGGTGAGAGCTACAGATGGATATACACCAGGATACTGGGTTGGGTTGGGGAGTTCAAGGAAATAAAAGGATAAAATCGCAAGGCGAGCGAGCGAGCAAACAAACCCAGCGAAAGCTACGAGTTCAACAAGCTTAAAACAGCACAGTGTATAGGTGGTTTTGGGACGCGGATGGTATGGAATGGTGATGGCTAGGGATGTGATGGGATGGGTTTGTTTGAGCATTGGCAGGAAGTGCATTTCGGATGCTATCCACCCGTTTGTCGTCTGTTTGTTGTCTCCTCCTTGCCAGATTCACCACCGCTCCGAAACTTGGGATTGTTTTGATTTTGCCTTTTGTGTGACCAGTCAAAGGAAGTTAACGCGCTCCAAACAAAAACCAGAGCGTTAGTCAAAGACACATCCCACCCACCATTCACTTGGCTTTCCCCAAACAACCCCGCCACCCACTGGATTCTCCCGACCAACAGCTGCAGGCGCTTTAAGGCGGACAGAGCAGCATGATAAATAAATGTTATGTTTATTAAAGACCCCGACTGCTGGGAAACATTTACACTTGAGAACGCCGTGAGCGTTTTGGACAGCTCGCATTTGGAATGGGATTTCGACTGGCTTGGGTTACGGATATATATATAGCCACAGCTTCTTGAAGGTGACACAAAATGGGGAAAACTGCAAAAGTTCAGCGTTGATTTCAGTGACTCAGGAAGCCAATTAGCAAGATATACAAAACTTTTGCCACTGAAAATAGAATTTTGCATCGAGGAATGAATGGATTTTTGCGCGGGGTATATCTGTTGGAAACAAATTGTGGTATTTATGATTAATATTTGTGAGAATGTGGTTTTTTTTGTCATTTTAGGGCAACTCAAGAGTTGAAAGAGTTTTGACTTCCAAGTTTTAACTTCCAAGAATGTGTTACTTTCTGCTCAAGCTGTGTTAGGGTATGAATTATTCGTGCCGTATTTGTATTGAACTCCCTCTGCAATCAACCGGGAAGCACTTGCAAAAACTTTTATTCTATTGACACCGCACCAATTCAGCATCCGCACTTTCCTGCATTCCGACCTGGTCCCTCATATCTGCAACTGCCGCAGGCTGTCGGAGTTTTTGAAAGGGGTTTTCTTCCAGCAATTCAAAGCAATTTGATTTCCATTTGAGATATTTGCCCGCCGCGCCGAGTGCAAGGAAAAAGGAAAACAACTGCAAAACTGTTGCCAATTTGGGGGAAAAAGGTTCTCGCTGTTCGCAGCTCGCACATTCATTCATGAATTCGTGGCGGTGGAGATGGAGATGAAGTAGGCGTGGCAGGGGGCGAGGTGGACAAGGGACACAGCTCAGCAGTTGGGCAAACATTTGGCAAACATTGTTAAAAACTTTAAAATGAAAAGGTTAATTGAAACAAAAGGGACTTGATGGCAAAAGTTTAACCGACCGCGTCCACTGCGTACCGCCTACCAGCCACGCCCACGGCCCATTTGCACCACCGCCCCACCATTCGGACTGGAGCAGACACTTGCAATCCTCCAGGCGGGTGGAAAGTCCAATCAGCGTCGCATTAAAAACCCCGCACAAAGCAAAACTTTTCCACGATTTAGAAAATTTCGCGAGCCATCGCAGATCATGGGGGGATATCACCAGAAGGTGGCGCCTTGGTGGTGGTGCAAAAGTTGGTCAGACTGCGGTCTGAGTGGGTGTGGCAAGTATTTGCGAATCTCTGCCCTCGCTAAATGAATTTAAATTCTCTGTGGCCGGCTTTGTTCTCATTGTGCGTACATATATATTTTCATTTTTTAGGGGATGCATCCCTTTTAATTTTTTGGGTAACGCTTTTTAATTATAAGTCTGCCATTATATGCTTACGCTTGGAAAAAAAAAAAGAAGCAGCCACTGATGATGTTCCACCTATACCCATTTTTCGTTTGAGGCACTTGCCGCACGTTTGTGTGTTCTGATTTGGGGATTCCACTGGACCCCCCGCTTGCCCCACCACCAAACTCGCAGTTTAGAGGACCTTTTGTGTGTGGGTGGTGTTTCGTTTGGGCGGGTGGACACGTTGCGGGCACTTTAAGGGCACGACGCGCTTTGCATATACAAACCAAGGATGTCTTGACCTTTCACTGACTTTGCCTTTTCAATTTGTTGCTCCATTTGCAGACGCTGATTGCCACAAGTACGGCAATAACAAATTACCTGCCTCAAATCGGACGGCGACCACGCCTACGCCAGCTCCAACGCCCCCGCCTCAGCATCCAACTAGTCAAGCATTAGCATTAGGCGGAGTTCCAGTTGCCGGCCATCCCAAGCGTCCAACTGGTGGCCATGTGATAAAGCAGTCAGCCTCCGTTCTTGGGCCACCATCCACGCCGCCCATGGCTACCGGTGGACCCAACACAGTCATCCAACAGCAGCAGCCGCAACAGCAACATCCCAACTTCAAGGACGATCCCGCTGGCTATCTGCAACAGCAAACAGCACTGCTGCATAACAGTCTTGGAGTCGGTTTGGATGCAACGAAAACGGCGGCTGGCACTTCCACTGCGAGAGCTCTGCCCCAAGAACCCATTGTTCACAGCTCGCAGCAGCACCAACAGCAGCAGCAGCAACAGCAACAGCAGCAGCAACAACAGCTTCAGCAACAGCAGCATCTGCAGCAGCTGCAGCGCCAAAAGATCCGTCGTCTGTCGCTCTTTGGGAAGTGGGAAACGGATCCAGCACCTGCCACCAACCCCCAACCATCAAGTGGAGCACGAACACTGCAAGCGGAAGCTGCCGCCTTCGCGCGCCCCCAAAAACCACAGGTCACTAGCGTAACACTGGTGCCAACTCCCCAGGAGTCTCCAGTATCGAGTAGCGCAGCCGAGACGCTGGAGAAGCGACCCGAGCAGGTGGGAGCCATATCCACCAGTCACGAGAGTCCGCGACAGAGTCTGTCGTCGCCCACGGACTCGGTTGACTCGGCTAAGAGCACGCCTTCAGCCTCACCCAAACCCCAAACGCATGCCCCACTGCAGCCGCAGTTGCTGCAGATGCGTCCGCATCTCCAGGCGAATCTTTCAGCTCAAGCGCCCGTCAGCGTGCCCGCCCATGTACGTGTTATGCGTCAGCAGCAGGCTCAGATCATTCCCGGCCAGCGCTTGCCAGTGGCCAGCAGCAGCGCTGCGATGGCCACGATGACCAGGAGCATAGTGACCTCCACGGCAGGCACGAGTACGATCACAGGGCGGCCTGTGGCCACGACGTTAACCAGCTCGAATCCCACTGTGGCGCAGTTGCAATCCATGGCGAATGCCATGAATGGAGCTGGTGGTGGTGGGCAATTGATAATGACTTCTTCGGGACAACTACTGGTCATACCGACGCCCAGCAAGCAGACAACGCAGCATCATCGTCCTGGACAGCCCGGACAAGGTGTCATCATCCAGCAACAGCAGCCGGCGGAGTTGCATCCCCAACCGGGAGGTGGCTATATCGTCAGTCAGCCCTCCCCGGTGGCGGCGGCCAGCTCTAGCAGCAGCAGCAGCACTGTGATCTTGAACTCCGGCGGAGCCAAGCTGCTGCACCACCAGATCATCACCTCGCAGGCTGGCCAGATTAATCAAGCGACTTCAGGTGGAGCTGGAAATCAGACGCAGACGGTGCTACTCAACACCCTGCCCAATGGGGGTTACATTGTCCAGCAGCAACCGCCATCGCAGACGCCACAGCAGGCAGAACAGATCCTGGCGATGCCACAACCGCCTCCGGCTCAAACACTTATCATCAGCTCGCCGGACACGAAGAGAAGAGCGCGGAAGCGCAAGAGCTCTGTATGCCATACACCGCCGCCGAGTGGATCGCCCGCCAAAATCATTTCGCCTCAGATCTCGCCCAGCATCCCAAGCCAGGCACCAGCTCTGCTCCACCAGCAGGCAGCTGCAGCAGCGGCTGCTGCTCCTCAATTCCAACAGCAATTCCAATTGAGTCCTGGCATTCAGGGAATCGTCGTTAACAAACCTAATCCTCCGCAGCCTCAGCAGGCACAACAGCTCCTGCTCCAGAATGGGCAAATCCTGCAACAGGTTAATCTCATTGGACAGCAGCTTCTCATGCCAGCCGGGTTGGTGATGGGACCAGATGCCACTCTGCTACAGATCCAGAATATGCCCGCAACCAGCCTGATGACGCCGCAGGGTCCCGTGATGCTGAGAACGCCATCGCCACAAAACAAGCCGTCTTTCATTTCTCCGAGCGCCGGGGGACAACAGTACTTAGTGGGCGCCAATGGGCAGTTGAGTCCCATCGGTCAGATCTACTCCACGCCCATGGGTCTGGTCATGCCAACTGGTCAGCAGGGAGGTGCCTCCTTTGTGCAGGCTAGTCCCACGACAACAACTATACAGATCCAACAACAGCCAGCCCCGCAGCCCACGCAAATCAGTTTGCAGCCAGCACAGGCCACCTACATGACAGAGGCGGTGATGAGTCGCCAGGGAACGGCCGCCAGTCCGCCGGACACAACTACCTGTAGTCCACGAAGTCCGGAGCGACCTGCCAGCCATCGAAGCAGTGGCAGCGATATGGTGAGTTTTTGTAAATGGAGTTTTCTTCTCGATTCCTTTTTCTAATCACTTTTGTCTTCCGTAGGTACAATGTGTATCCAGTTCGGAGCCGGATGCAGCTGTCTCTCCCCAAAGTACTGAGAGTCGGCAGTCGCCCTCTTCAACGGACTGCGAGAGGAGTAAGTGCATCTACTTCAATAAGAGCCCATTTCATTGAACCCTTTATAACAACATTTACTCTTTAACAACTAGGCATTTGTAAGAACAATGTGTTTACCCAGCCCAGTGGGATCTACAAGCACTCGGAGCCAAAGATCAGACGCATTCACATTACCTCGCAGACGTCGGCGGAGAACGGAATAAGCCTGATGCAGGGACAAGGTATGCGACTGGCGACATCTAACACAAACTCCACATCTGCATCCACGTCTATAACATCGTCATCGTCGGCACCACTAACCACAACTGCTATGGCTGGCCAACGCCAGCTTGTGCACCGCCAGCAGGCCGTGCACCTTCACACATCTCCAAACATCTCCAACAGCCATCCAAACACCTTCCTTCATAGCCACAAAGTAGTTAACTTTGACTACCAGGGTAAGGCCCCATCGCTGACCAGCACTAATTGCATCCACACGCTAACCCACCAACACAACACCACCCATTTGGCTACTGCATGATCGCCTGCACCACCTCCAGCACCTGCACCTGCACCTGCACCTTTGTCTAGTTTATAATCTGTACCCTCCGTCTGTACTTCGCTGGGTGCTGGGATCACCATTGCCCCCGAGTAACCAAATTCGTAGTCCTAGTTTCTATGAGTGTGTGTGTGTGCCTTTCGTAGAGTCGCCTACCACAACGCAGCAGCATACATCAGTTCCAACCGCTCAACCAGCAGTCGAGAAGACGACGATCAGGACGCCCACAAAACGTTCGCGCCGCCCGCAACGTGGGGCAGGGCGTGCGGCGCCCACGGCGTCCGATAGAAGTTTCCAGCTGCCACCACGATCCTTTGCCATTGGGGAGCTGATATGGGGTCCGGCGCGGGGCCATCCCGCCTGGCCCGGAAAGATCGTCAAGATGCCAGACGGAGTGTGCACGCCGTCGCAGCAGTTCGATCACGTCTGGGTTCAGTGGTTCGGCGGCGGCGGGCGTTCGACCTCCGAACTGATTCCGGTCAACTCATTGCAGAGTCTCTCCGAGGGTCTGGAAGCACATCACAAGGCCCAGAAGGATACGAGAAAGTGAGCATCGATTGAGGGTGGGAATTTCTGGGAAAGATCGGGGGGGAAATGTTTATTCAAGCTAATATTTAAAACAGGCAGCATTTCAGGATACCTTCGGCATTAGGTGAACTCCAGACCAGCCCTGTAGTTAGTTATTGTACGAATTCGAAAATATTTGTTGAACTTCATTTTATATCTTTAAGTAGTATTTATCTGTACTTTGTAGTTTTTTCTTGCATATGGTATGAAAGCAAACGTTGCAATTTTTTTGGTTATATTTGTATACAAAGTAATTGTATTTATTTTGCTTTAGACACATAGATAATTTTTTAGTTTATTTATGCAGCCTTTATCAAACCTTACAATCGTAGCTGTTTAGAAGATTGGAAATTTTATATATTTAACTGTGCAATTTAGCTATAAATCGGCATTTAAGTGCATTATTAATTAATTTAATCATTGTTTACATTTTGACTTTTAATTTGCTAATTAATATTCTTGTTTCTTTTTTTAAATGCGCTGAACCAAAACCAAAAATTAAACCATGCCCTGCCAACCCCAACGTGTATAACTCTGTGTGTGTATGCATAATCATCATCATCATCATGACCAACAACAACCCCACTCGAAAATGAAAAACCCAAATCCGAACCCAACCTGAAACCAACCAAAAACTCAACCACATACACACACTCACCATGCGACCACAAAGGAGCCGCAAACTGAACTCGCAGCTCGAGCGGGCCATACAAGAAGCAATGACTGAGTTGGATAACATTTCAGCCTCCTCGACACCCGCAGCCACATCCTCGTCATCAGCAACCATCGCTGCTGTTCCCGCATCAGCAGGACCAGCTGTAATTGGCGGACAACAGCAGTATCAGCAGCAGCAGCAGCAGCAACAGCAGCAGCAGTCGCCCTCTTCAACGAACAACAAAATAAATGGACTCGCGCGGAGCAAGCGCCAGGCCAACACAAGTGGGGCCAGCATGGTGCTGACCACCAGTACGGCGGCCACATTGAGTGGCCTCTTCAATCAGCAGCGAGCCAAACCCATACGCATTGCACCAGCTCCACCGGTGGCCACAACGGGCACGGGAAACATTGGGACGATACCAGCAGCTGGAGCAGCAGCATCAGCAGCTTCAGCTGGAACCGGGACCACTTCGGCCCGTTCCGAGATCCTGAAGCTGACCAAATGACCAGCGCTGTCGACGTTGCCGTCGACAGTGAGCACAGCCAGCTACACCCTCGTTATCGGGCATAAGTAGCGGGCGGCAGGAGGAGATGCCGCCAGGCCATAAATATAGCTATCCATATGCGACGATGCGAGTATATAGTGTTTAGTGTTAGGTGTCAGGCCTCAGCTTTGGAGTTTGTTGTTTTGTATTCTTTGACAGACTCCCCGCTTAGTTGCGTCGCTGGGCGGCGCGCGCCACACTTTCGAAATAGACAATAAAACAGCAAGATGATGTTAATGAAAATCAAGTTACAAAGAGCAGTTCTAACAATTAGCTATAGGTTTGGCTTCTTAGACAGCGCCGCGGCGCAAAATTTGCGTTGTTTTGTACATAGTAAGCACCCCAAGCTACAGATGTTCGTATTTAAGTATTTATTTATTGCATATAGATTCTTGGTTTCTATAGGTTTTGTTTTCGTTGCAATTTGTAGACCTACCAATTATTTGTATAAATAGGTAAACTAAGCTGATGATACTTAGCCACTAAGTTTAAAGAACATCCACAACAATTACATTTGCCTTGTCAAGCAAATAATATCAAATCAAAAGCAGCTACTGATTTTCATTTATTGTGATTGCACAAATTGTTTTTTAAACTCTAGAAGAACAAATTATTTATGTCAAACACAAAAAACGAAAAAACCATGAGAAAATTAGAACGGGTTGAGAAAAATTATATTTATAAATTGTTATTATTTATTTAGTTGAAACTATTGTAAAATTATAATTGTAAAACAAAAATGAAATCACACTTAGCGGAACCACACGGAGCAAATAAAAAGTAAAAAACAAAACTGAAAACAGAACTGAATGGTGTTTTTGTGTCCACTACTCGTAAATATAATGTAACAGGTGAATGTAAGCATTTCTAAGATCGCTCAAGCGCACAATATTTATGGATTCTTATAAGTCTTATATTGGGAATCAGTTTTTATGTGCGACTGGAAACTCACACATCTGAGTAAAAGCAGTGAGCAGCCGTCAAAATGACGCAGTCGATCTGGCCATGTCCGTCTGTCCGTATGAACGCCTCGATCTCAGGAACTACAAAATGTTATGATGTTGTAAAAAGTCAAAAATGTCCCAAGACTGAAGTTCTAAACTGCATAACTCAACTAATCTTAATCGGTATTTGAAGTGGCAGACTTCTAAATGTTTCTGGAGCAATTCCCTAAAAAAATATATAATTTTATTTTTTTTTTAATTTTTTTTTAGTTTATTTTGATGTTATATCTTGTTAGCATTATATCTTGTTTTGTGTTCAACTGCATCGAAGGTTAAGATTTTACTAGCTTCTAGCCTGGTATTTAAAACTAAAAGTTAATTTTATTAAAGGTTTTCTTATCTGCAAACGGCAAAGAGCCCTTGAAAATGGAAACTCAGATCTGTCAGAACTATCAATCTAACTGCCGACAGTTTTCTTGATAAGAGGGATTTCACACTTCCTAAATATGTAAATTAAGTTCATCCGAACAACCCTTTGTAATTATCTGAAAAGCGAATTTAAAACTATGATCTTTAAATTCCTAGCTGCGTTCAGTATTAGCCAACTCTCCTTGTATCCAATCTTTGAAATAGTGCACCCTCGTGTACAAACTGGGAATATCTGGAGTATCACATGCGAGTCCAAAAGACGTGACACCCATGACTTGGTATCGGCATCCATTTCCGGTATGGGCAATTAGCAGCGGACCACCCGAATCCCCATTACAAGTGTCCTTATGCCCCGGGGACCCAACGCACAACTGGGTCTCCGCATTGTATCCTTGGGGACAATCCTCACTTGGATAGGTTGTGTCGCTACAAGACCGATTATAGTTTTGCAGCTCCACCTCCCTCAGTTCCTTGGACGGTTCGAATTCGTCGAATTTCTTCTGACCCCAACCGATGGCAGTAAAGGAATCTAGCTGCTCTCCTCCATTCGAAGGCAGGCAGGCTGGCATCTTGTAAGGTCCAAAGGTCACCTGTCTGCGCAAACGAACAAGGCCAATATCGTTGTAGAGAACGGGGTACCGAAAGTGAGGATGAGCCCTTATTTCAAGCACTTCAATGTCCTCCGGTTCGGCATCATCCTCGTCGGAGTCGAAGACTAGTTCTCCTAGTCGCACAATATTCACAATTCCACTGCGAAATAAATATGCATTATATGCATTGTTGTTTTTAATTACTTTTTAAGTCGTACTTACACATCCGAGTAAAAGCAGTGAGCCGCCGTCAAAACCACCTGGTGACTTATCAAGGTGCCTCCACAAAACCACTTCGTTTGATTTCCACTAGACCTGTGATGACCCAGCCGAGCGGCCATGGGAAACTTTTTTGGAAGGGCTGCAATGCCTCCAACTACAACAGTCCCTGAAGTTCCACCTTAGAAAGGAGTTCTATCACTCATACTATACGATTGACACCTATCGGAAATAAGCTCACTGTGAATGTCAGAAATTTTAACAAGGCCAATGTAACACATAAAAGTCAGTGACAAAATCCGTATGGCCATTATAGATGTTATACTGTGCAGCTGCACCCAACGAAGACTCAATTGAAACTGAATTCAATGATTGATTATGATTCCGGCTCGTCTTATCTATCAAGAATTCTAGGGGAAATTACAAACGGACAAGATTAGTTTGAGCTGAGTTTGTGAATGGCATACCCTGTGCATTGTAATTAAATTTAAATCACATCACCATAGGCTCCAATGTCAAGAAGTAATAGTAGAGTATGATGCAAAGTAGTTCAGTAAAGTCCGGTATTTCGAGCTGAAAGGAGCTGTGAATTATTGGTTGTTCAAAAAGTAAGCATTCTGGAGATTTTAGATTTCTATATGATATGCTTGAGAACTACTTTACCTAGGCAAATATTCCGAGTTAGTTGGGTTACAAGCCAACAATGCATAGACTCAAGTTGAAGAACAAGCAGCCTCCGCCGCGCTATGAGCCCACTCTCCAGCCGGTCAATGGCATCGTGCAGCCGCCGGTCATTCCGCCGCCAAATCGTCCTGGCCGGAGGACGAACGTGCTGGAAGATCTCAAGTCCGTGCTGAACTTCATCTGGCGCATTCGCTGTTCGTACCACTTCCGCCATCCCGTCGATGCGGTGAGCCTGGGTGTGCCCGACTACCATGCGGTGGTCAAGCATCCGATGGACTTGAGCACGATCAGGAAGCGACTGCACAACAACTACTACTGGCAGGCGAGCGAGGCTCTGGAGGATTTCAAGCTGATATTCGAGAACTGCATGCTGTACAATCTGGAGGGCTCACCGGTAAACCAGGCGGGGAAGGAGCTGAAGGAGGTCTTCTACACGCGACTGGCGTCCATTGATTTGAGCAAGGAGGCGGAACTGAAGCCAAAATCGGAAAAGCGCAAGAGAAAAGCTACCGACTCGCTGGATTCAGGCACGACTCCCATGTTGCCACCACCGCGAGCATCGAGTCAGTATCCTGGACACTGGTCTTCGGGTCGTCCCCCATGGCACTGTCCTCCACCGATTCCTGGGGTGCCGGCACTTCCTTCACCATTCCGAAATTTCGTGCCTCCCAACTTGATCCCATCTTTTATACCCGATTTCTTGGTGAATCCCGTGACATCTATGATACCAATTTCATCAATGATGAATCCGATATTCAAGAATACTTGGGACTTAAATAGAGGAATGAATCTGCCGCCTGAAAAACCAGCCTCAGCGCCAAACTCCTTCCGTCCCATTGTCTTGCCACCACCCTTGACTTCATCGCCAATCGAACCCATCATGATGCCTTTGCCCACATGGCCAAACCCAACACCAGCTGAGCCCCCAGCTCAATTGCCACCACCGCCTCCGAAGCCCAAGCCACCTGCTATCATCTGTTACAAGTCTCTGGATCGATTGATTGAAAAGAGCCACACAGATCACCTTCTGAAATCGATGCTGAAACGAAAGCGCAAACAGATTACATGGGCTTTTAACCACGCTGACTACTGGCGCAGGTACTCCCAGAATCCGGACTACGACCACGATCGTGAGGAGAAACTGGATTGGAAGATACTCCAGGAGCGTTTGGACGCCGATAATTTTGAGAGCTTTGATGGATTCGTGAGCACTGTGCGAAAGATGTTCCAGAACGCATTGCGTTGCTTTCCGGAAGATGGATTAATCAAGGCTTCGGTGAAGAAAACCAATGAGATCTTTGAGAAAAGACTGCCCAAGTACAGGCAGTTGATTGCGACGGCCAAGGACAAGGGGCGTCTACTGGTGGCCACCAAGGAAAAGGAGTTTCGTGCCGCAGAAACCATGAACATTAAACAAGAAAGAGTGGATCAGGAGACTGAAAACGTTTGGATTCCAAAACCAGTAACTATTAAAATGGAGCCCCTGGACGTACCAGAACAGGAAGTGCTCACGACGGAGCCCCAGGATGTACAACAAACAGTAGTACCTAGTACGGAGCCGCTGGGTGAACAAACGAATGCTAGCGATCAAAGTGCGAAGTGTTCCAGCATGAAAAGCAGTTCTATTAATGTGTAAATTCCTTTCACAGTATTGTGGTATTTGATGTATGTTACTTTATCAGCATTAAATAAGAGCCTAATTATGAAGTATCAACATTTTCATAGTTTAATTCTTATATTTAAAATATAACGGTCAAGCACCAGGGCGCCATCGTTACCCATACGCCACCTCTCGATTGACAACGCAACTAAATAGGAATAGGGTGACCAGTCGTCTACCAATCTGGCAGCTCTGCAGGTAAAGTGCTGCACAGTGTTCCGTTGCCACGTCCTTTCCAACACTTATCTGTTGCTTCGCATTAAAAATTTTTGCCTGACTGGACGACTTCGCAGAAAAGTCCCAGAAGAAAACGCGGATAAGTCGGAATTAAGGCAGCCACCATGTCATACCAACTGTACCGCAACACCACGCTCGGAAACACCCTGCAGGAGAGCCTCGACGAGCTGATTCAGGTGAGTGCTGACCCGCAAAATGGCCGCACTTCGCGCTGGCAAAGTAGAACACATTATAATTTCGGTCTTGCATATTGCAGTACGGCCAGATCACGCCCGGTCTGGCGTTCAAGGTTCTGCTGCAGTTCGACAAGAGCATCAACAATGCCCTAAACCAGCGGGTCAAGGCCCGCGTCACCTTCAAGGCTGGAAAACTGAACACCTATCGCTTCTGCGACAATGTGTGGACTCTCATGCTCAACGATGTGGAATTCCGCGAAGTCCACGAGTTCGTCAAGGTGGACAAGGTCAAGATCGTGGCCTGCGACGGCAAGAGCGGCGAATTCTGAATACCACCGACCCGATCTGAACACCATATACCCACTAAATACACCATTATAACCATTACAAATAGCCGTAAGATTCGTAGCCGATAAGCTGGGTTGGCCAACTAGAACCGACCGTGTGATGCAGCGGGCATTGCAAGAAATACACTGTTAATTCATAGTTCAAAAAGTCGAGAATGTTTGTTATATTTGCCGGGTAAACAAGGCCATTCAATGAATTGCGTTTTACAAATCACTAGGGGCAGCATGAAATTGTGTTTCGTAAATGGTTCCCAGAAGCCCTAACTAATTAGAAACTATACATAGAAAGGAATTCAACGTATAAAAATAGGTCACATCATGCTAATAGACTTTTTTAATTATTATTTATTAATAATTTTAGTTCACTTGTTTTGAGCGCTTAACAGAGCTCTGTAAGCCGGCTAATGGTTGGAGCCTTCGCTAGATAGCGTGAAATGTTTTGTTTGGTATTTTTTAGTCATACTTTCTGTGCAGCCACATCGAGTGAGCTCTCCAGTTTCGCGACCTGCAGTCACACTTGCTCCAACGAACAAAAACCACCGCCCGCATCATCACGCATCGTTATTTGTTGTTGTCTCCGCCGTTCAATCGCTGACAATTAACAACAAAACAAAAAGAACGGCAGGCACTGCCTTCGCTTTTGAGAGAAGACCGCGACTGTAAACTGCCAGGCGATCGAAATCGAAGCGATTTAAAATCGAAAACGCGCGCGAGATGCGGAAAAGCCAAACGCCGCGAGCTTTGTTTATGTGTATCGGAAAATAACACAGGAAAATCCCTTAGATTTTGTGTGCGGATGAGCCAGTGCGAAAGCAATATCAATAATATCCCAAGCAGATTGCTGAATAAATCGCATTCGAGAGGTAAAAATGCAAATCGGAGTGTGATTATTGAGAGTGTGCTAGTGTGTGGTGCGAAGTGACTAAGCGCCGCAAAGAAAGTGGAAAAGCGGAAAAGCGGGGGACGCGGTGGTTGGGGGCGAGAAGTGGGCAAGGGAAAAAATCTAAAGTGCATTCATATTGCGTGCTAATCTCCGCCGTTTTTCCACTGCAGAAACGTGAATATAATTACGGCGAAAGCGGATCAATAAAGTGATTTTTCGTGCAGTCAACGAGAAAAAGAAAAGAAATGAAAATAAAACCTTGCGTTGGCGTCGCAGCAGCAGAAAATTTCGAAACAAATTCAGCAGCGCCCTGTGAAATATAAATAAATTTATATGCCATCCCCTCCCCTTCTTGTTCTTTTATGTTTTCCAATTGGACTCCTGCTGCGCCGCCATCACTTACAAAAAAAAAATAAATAATTCTCGCCTTCTAGGAAGTAAAAGTCGCGTTGAAAGGCAATTAAGATTAATCCATAATATCCATATCGATTATTTAAAGGTTTGACTAAAAGATCGGCAAAATTAATTTCCGTCGCATTAAAATCTTTACATCAAAACTGGATTATAACAGATCCGTTGATATTGGCACTCAGCAGGAAAACAACTCGGGGGTAACCAACAAAATGGTGAAACGGTAAGTAAACGTCCAATGATTGTAAATGCATTTCAGTTAGATTCAGTCTTATCAGTCAAGCCTGTGTTTTCACCGATATCGGGCAATGTCGTTAACCCATTTCTACAGACCAATTAGCGTCTATGTTCGTCACAGACAGTGTTCTACAGTCATCGCCCCATAAAGCAGATCCATAAATAAAACGATATCCATTGTTCAGAATGGGTTTATTGGATAGTGAAAATAGCTAAATAATGAAAATTCAAGTACAAGCTTTGTTAAAGTCATTTGGATTTCTTACCCCTGGCCCAAGTTCCCTGTACTTCGTATTTAGATTTGGGATTTGCGTTGCATTTGCCGCGCCTGTCGGGTCTATTGAACCCCAAAAGTCTGATAAACAATTTCACATTCTCACCGCATCCATATCGCACAAATTATAACGCAATTTGTAATTGTTTTCCTTGTGAGGTTTCTTTTTTTTCGGTTTCTGTTAATCGCTACTACGTCGCAATGCAAGATTGCTGTTTCTATTCGTGTGCGCATTTTGTCACTGCCTTGCTTTTCTGGCCCCCCCAACTCCATGTTTTCCTACCGAGCAGCGGCTCCAACAACAACCAACCCCCAGCTGGGAAAAACACCCCCTTCTGGCTGCACTTCCATCACCCACCACCGCACCACCGAAATCATCATGTTTCAGCACTGAGAACTCAGAACTCCAGAACGCAACGCCACATAAATTTTGTGTGCGTTTTTCCACAAACAAAAAAATTGTAAAAAATACAACGCATACAGAAGGCCGTTAAGGCTCTGTTTTCAAAACCGGATCTTTAGTGACCGTGTAAAAAATTATTCATTTACCCATTAAGAACTGCAAGTTTCAGTCGAAAAAGTTGTAAAGTTCTTAAGTAAGGCAATATAGGAGCTTGTTATATTAACATTAAGTTCCAGGCCCTTGAGATCTAACGTACAACAAAAAAGTTATTGATTTCCCATGTATTATCGATATTTCGACACTTGAATTGATTCAAGTAATTTAATTAAGGTTGTACTTGTACTGTTTGAAGTTTGATGATTTTATCAGTTGTATTTTTCTTTGAATGGTTTAATGAAATTTTATTTTCGATAAGGCGAATTGCTAAGGATTTTTAAGTTCAAGAACAATTAATCAAAGTTTAATATACCAAAGCATTTTTAGAGATATCGTTTTAGTGTTTTATAAGAAAAGCCTAGCTATGATCTGTTCCATTACACCCTGTCTATAGAGGGTATGCAATCTTTAGCCCACTTAATTCAATTCCTGGGATACCCTTTTTCCAGTTGGGTTAACAGATGATGACTAGTTACCGATAACTGCTTTCTATTTCCCCACCATCAAGTTCAAAGTGTTTAGGGAAATGAAAACTTGAGTGGAAAGCTCTCAATGAAAATAAAAAAATAACAAAAAGTAGTGTTGCCAACACGGCGTCGGAATGGGAATACCCCTAAACTTCAAACTGAAAGGATACAGCGCCATAACATCGTTGAGATGACAGCAAAATAGAAAAGCGGCATTCGGTTTAACGCATGCGCCCTGACGTCACGACTGCAGCGGCAGCAGCACCAGCAACAATAACAACAACAACGAAAAACGACGACAGCAACAACATAATGTCCAGTGGAGTTTGGCTTTGCAATTTGATTTTCTACACGATTTTCAGACTTTTCATCTGCGGGCCCCCAAAATAGCAACAACAAAAACAAGGCAGCGCCTACATAAATAACTGCATACGTTGCATTCTCTTGCCCGCGCTCTCTTTCTCTCTCTCCCTCTCTCGCTCCCACTCCTTTGAGCTTCTCGCTCTCGCTTGCTTAATTATAGACTTTGTATCTAGCAATTTAAATACCCTTACTAGGGATGTAAAGACTTTAGATTTGTTTGTGGTCTTAAAGTTTTAAAATATTACGTTTATTGGACAACGGCTTAGTTATATAATAATAACCCAACAAATTTACATTGTATATTTATGATTTTTATTACTTGTAGGGTGCAGAGAATTCGGCTTTTCACCGTTAACTTCCCTTCTCGTTTTCCATTACTTTGTCGCGTTGTTTTTCGTGTTCTTCTTGCCTTCTCTGTCTTTCGTTGATGTTGTTGTTGCTGTTGCCCTGCTGCTTTTCAAGCAGGTTCTTCTTGTTGCATTTTTTACAGTTGTTAGGGCCTTGTTGTTGTTATTCAGTTCTTCTAGATTTTTGGTTTGTTGTTTTCGTTGTCGCGCCCCCTCAGCATCATTGCACCCCGCCCCCTGGCTGCTTTTCCAGAATTTTCAGGCCTTTTTTCCAACTACACTACCTGCTTGCCCCTTTTATCGATATATTTTATCACAGCGGCAGTGGGTCTAATCGATGCCGTCTCGCTCGCACTCGCACACTTCCTGCCGCTTACCTGAGTCCGCGACCTGTTCCCCATGTTGTTGTTATTATTATTGTTGTTCTGCGGGTTCCTTGGTTGTTGCTGTTGTAGTTGTTGTGGCTCTGGCGATCGTCTCGCAGGGATTTATGTACAAATCCACACAGCCTTCATGCATATGGCCGTGTCTGTTCTGTTCTGTTTTGTTCGGATCGGTGTTTATTAAATTCCACGATGCGTGCACAGGCGCGGGTAGGAGCATAGTGCCGACTCACAGTTTTACATGACATTTAATTCAATTATTTTCAAAACAAATTTTCTGTAAGAAAATTATATGCTATTCATTAAAATCGGTGTTCTTTGTATTATTTTATCTTTCATCTTACCACTACACTATGCATTTGATCACTGCTCCTCGTCGGCCTAATTTGTGTCCTATTATCTTGGCCACCGCTGTGCGCTTGCATTTTCAGTGGCTGCACAGCGGACGCTTGCCTTTTGCTTGGAAATTTATTTGTCTGCACGCCGATCCCCATTATGTATGTTCATGGGTGTATGTACATACATGCATATGTACATACATACGTACATATGTAGGAATGTATGGTTTGTATGGAATAAGTCGCTTCCTTGTATTTCTGTCCGTCTCTTTCCTTCGTTACTCCATCTGTTTATTCTTTTTTGGCGATTAAAATTAAAATTTAATTCCGCCGTTCTGCAGGCTGTTATACTATGTATGTATGTATGTAGCTGTAGTTGTTTGCTCTTGTCTGCCGGCTGCCATTGCCCCGTTTTTTCATTGAGCTTGGCTTTGTTTCACGGACTTCCTTGTTGTTTTCCCACTGCCCATTGTCGCCCCCCTTTTGCCTGCCCCCTCCCCAAACTGCAATTTTACCACCGCCTGTTGCTGCTGCGCTTAGCAACATTTTGCTTATGTTGCTCATTTGTTAAGTGTAAATTTATTTATGAAGTAACCACTACCTATACACACACACACACACCATTTGTGGCTGATTCATATGCACATACCCGCGTACAAACATAATTAACTGATATTATTCATGCCCATGACTCCAGTGAATAACGCCGGAATTACTTTGCGGACAAGGGTTGGGAAATTCTCACTTCGAGGTACAAAAACCAACTATGTAGCTACACATATGGCATTTTGGTTTCATTAAAGCATTTTAAAACTTACATTTACATAAAACAAAGGAAATTTAAAGATGCTGCATATAACCATCACATCACTTAAAATGTTTTCAAACTCACATTTTCGTGGTTTTTATATCTCACAGCAAGTTTGAATCCATTTTTGTCTATCTTCTATGTACTTTAAAGCCGTCGAAACAAATATTCTTATCAGGGCAGGGCGACAGCTGAGCTTATGAAGCTGATAATTTACAAACCCCTGTTATCATGCTAACGATGAAAAGATTTGGAATGAAATTTTGGAAATTGGAATTTCCCTATTCTAGCTCAATTAAATGAATGAAATGTGACACCATTTAATATCAGGGGAGTTCCAAATGTAGAGAAGCTTAGATTGTCAGTGCTATTTGAATGGGAAATTGGTAGCATCCGCCTTAGAATTTCTTGCTCACCTTGACAGTTCTTTGGCTGAAAGCTTAATAAACGGAGATTAACATTTCAGCCTGTCTAATGCATCTATCCCCCTTTTCACAGTCTTTCATTTTGGTCGTTCTAGACTTGCGAAACTGCCAGTTTGAGTTACATTTTAAGTTGGGCTTAAACCTGTCTCAGCGTTTCCACATTGCTGCTGCTGCTGCTGCATTTTGCATTTGCCCTTGCTTATCATTTCACTTTTGTTTCAATGCAGCGTGCACTGATAAGGTGCAGAAAAATCTCTGATTAGCTGTTGCAGCAGTCGCCACAAAAGGCAAAAAAAAAATTAATCAGACAAGTAAATACACGTGACCTGGATCTGGGACTGAAAATCTAAAGAGGGAAACTTAATTAGGACGGTATTTGTTCGTGTGTGTCTGGCTCTGATAAGCTCCCTGGCGGAAAATGTCAAGCGGAAAATGCAAACACAGCCAGTAGCAGCCCCATGAGCTGGCTGGATAAACAAACTAAATAAAAATAAAAATAACTTTTCGTACTAATCACGAGTGCAGCCGTTGTGCTCCTACCATTAAATTCCTTCGCATTCGGAGCACAAAGAGCCGGAATCATCGGTATCAACAAACTCGTCGAGGTCCCATCCTCCCACCCAACCCCACTTTCCCCCCGCTTTCCCACGGCTCTGCCTATATTTGCTGACCGAAAACCGATTCAGCTGTAATATTTACCGCTGACCGATCTGACTCGCAGTACAGTAAACACTCCCTAATGCAGATGCGGGAATGTTTTTCAAAAATGTAGAAATCTAACTTACTGGCAGGTATTGAATGAGTGAGTTTAACTATTCAAGTCTCAATCTATTCTTATAATTAGGTTAGCAAACTATCACAAATTGAATTTTACTCTTAATTACAAATATTTTGAGATGTTATGATAGATGATAGAGCTTTTAAAAAATACCCCTTATGCTTCCAATTAAATGCACTACACGTTTTCTTCTGTAAGATGGCTCGTAAAATCACAAATTTAACGACATCCCAGATTTAAAGTTTCTAATTCGAGGAAAATCCACTTTGGTAGATTGGGAAAACGGGGAGATCGAATTTCGTTAGCTGGGGGCTCTGGGTTCAAAGTTCACGGCGCTTATCAGTGCGCACATCTCTTGCGGACAGCGCCTGAGATTGGAGCCAAATTGCCGTGGCGTGCATTGCCATCTGAACTCGAAGTGTCAAAAGCACGAACCGTTTGAGATTGCCCAAAATGGGAGGCAAGTTTGATGCTCTCGGGCGGTTGACCCACATAAGGAACCACCCATCACCCGTCCCACCCATCCGCCCCCCATTTCGGCCCTCTCTTTTCCTAATGGCCAAGTGAAAGTTTCCTCTTTTGCTGCTCCGTTGGCTTGGCTTAAGTAATTTACAACAATTTACGACAAATTTGCATTGGACCTGATGAAATGAAATTTTCGGGCTGTGGTGTGAAAAAATATGAAAGTGAAAATGAAAATGAAAATTGCCCAACGAACGCATTTAACTTTGATTTGCAAGTGATCTGCAGCTGCTTAAAGTGCAATGTTTGGGTAATTTTGTGTATGCAGGTGGATTCATTTGATTCATTTGACATGCATATGATATCCCATTCCGCAGGTCCAGACCCAGACAGGATATGCGCCTCGTCGGGCTGCAGGTGCTGTGCAAAAACTTGGCAACATCCTGCGGGGAAAATGAAACAGTGCTTTATAAAAAACAACGGCGCAAAAAGTGCCACCATTGTCATTGCCGCCTGAAACGTTGGAGAGGAAGTCAAGGGTGAACGACCACAGGGACATTCAGTTGACAGACAGAGAGACAGACAGGCAGGCGATTCGATTAAACTTTTATGCAAGGTGGAATATTCAGCAAGTCGTAAACTTCGTTTAACCGCCCCTAAAACTGTTCAAAGTTTTCAAAAGCCAACTAAAATAGTGAAGTTTAGCACGGGCTTTTTGGAAAAACTTCTCAAGAGGCCAAATTATTTTTTGCCACTCAAACTGAAACAGCTCAGACAGTTTGTGTTATATTATAACCAAAAGTATTTTGACAAACTTCAAGATTTGCTATTCATGTTCACTAAACTTGTTTCGTTTTCGTGGTCACTGATTATTACAACGCGGCCGTTTTAATACGTCAATTAATAAGTAGCATATGCCTATTTTGTGTGTCATTAATAAGTCCGGCTTAGAGCCCAATACCCAGATCCCTGATTCCCAGACCGCAGACGCTGCTGAAAGCGAACCAAGCTGGCTAAAAGCTGAATGCTGAATGCTGAATGCGGGCTTAGACCTTTGCAGTTGCTGTTTTTGTTCCTGCTTCGGCTGCCTTAGCCATTTGCCAGACGCCAACGAGCTTTTGTATATGATTTGACCTTAATTCCCTGGCACATTGCACTTTAAATGCAGGCTGGCTGTAGGAAACTGCTCCTTTAAGCGCATTTTGAACTTTGTCTGCGGCGGGCTGCTTTGCTGCCCTGCTCCTCCGCTTTCTTCTTTCCTGTTCCCGCCAGCTTGTTGTTTTTTTTCTTTTTTTATTTTTGGTTTTGTCGGGCATTTCCGGTTTGTGTGTGAAGACGATGAATAAGGCGAAGATGAGGAGCCTGGCTAAGCTCGGCCCGGTGAAAGACGTTGGTGGGCCAGGACCTCAAGTGGACAGGGTAGCGGGAGGATCCACATCCTTTGTCTGCCAGTTGGCTTAGTTCGAGCTTCCACGGCACAATGTGCCCGCAGGAAAGTGAGTGTGTGCTAGTCTCTGTTTCTGCCACAAAGGATAGAGGATATTGCTCTCCTCCATGTGAGTGTTGTCTCAGTGTGTGTGTGTGCGTGTGTATGGATGTGTGTGTGTTAGGTCATTGGCTGCTGTCCTGCCGTTCGTTCCATCCTTTTGCCTCCCTGAACAGAACTTTGGCCAATATAAATTTTATACTAAAAAATTTGTCTTCTTCCTCTGCTCTTTTTTTGCAGGTAAGTTTCGGTTGAAAACTTTCGGAGTTTAAGGCGTTTGGAAACTGTTGCCTGCCCCCGCACATTGCCACTTGACTTTGGCCAAGACCTGGAGGTGGATTCAATTGGTTTCGGTTTGGTTTTTTTCGAAAACTTTTTGGGCCGGCTTATTTATTTATTTTTTCTATGCGGTTTTGTGAACTCATTTGAAATAATTACACGGCTCTAACTCAATGTCTCGAGTTTTTGCCTGGGACGCGTTTATTTTGGTGAACAATTGATTTCCCACACGCGGAGACACAGAAATTGCAAAAATCACAAAGACCAGAAATGGGAAATTCCTTAGTTATTGTTGGATCCGCATAAATATGTATCTTAGTTAAGAGTTGAAAATCGCGTGGGCCGATTCCGCGAAGTCAGTTGGAGTTCAGTTCAGTTTTGCAGACCGCGGAGGCTCGTTAGCCTTGTTAACTAAGGCTTTGTAGGTTGGCAAATCCGTTCTGAGAATTCGCCTCAGATGTGCCAACTGTAATTGGCAAGAAATTAAGTTGAGCCATAAAACTAAGCTGCATTAGAACTAGAATAGCTTCCCACTTAACTAAACTGACTCGTATTAATTATAGTTACTCCATGTATTTCTGGAATTTATTTATGTGGGAAGATCAGCGCCCTGAAAATGATGCTCTAATGAAGTTACAAATAAATACATTTTGAGAACCTTGAAAGTCAGTAAGAATACAAAGTAGAGGCACCAGGGAATAGTACTTTTTTCAAAAACTACAATGTTTTCAAATAATTAATTTTAGCATCCCTTTTAACAACTATGCATTTTGCAAACCCTTTAAAGTGTATTCCAATGAGTTAGCGCTTCCAGCTAAAGCAAACTTTTAATTGGGTCTAAAGAGCCACGAGGGAAAGTCGGGACATGCATTATCTATGAGTATATGCATTCCGGCCGAGACCAAAGCCGCGCTCGTTCCCGTTTTCGTGGCTAAGAGCGATGCAACCGCCGATTAACTTGGCGGTTGCACATGGCCATTCTGCAATTTCCCGGGGCGTCCCTTCTCCCGGCTGAGC